GTGTTAATGATAAATTGTTGCTTAGGGGATCTTTGATTGTAGTCCCTAATGCCCTACAAGGTAAAATGGTAGATCTTGCACATGAGGGTCACCAAGGGGAGGCCAAGACAAAGAAACTTCTCAGGTCAAAGGTGTGGTTCCCTAAGCTTGACAAGCTTTGTGAGGTGGTAGTTAAAGAGTGTATTCTATGCCAGGCAGCAACACCTCAGACAGTGCGTGCCCCCCTCAAAATGACTGATCTCCCGAATGGTCCCTGGGAAAACTTAAGCATTGATTTCGGTCATGTAGGTAATGATTATGTTATGGTAATTATTGACGACTATTCACGGTACCCGGTTGTAGAGGTGGTCTCGTCCACCTCTGCTGCTGCTATCATCCCTAACCTAGATAAAGTGTTCGGCATGTTTGGTATTCCTAAAGTGGTAAAGACGGATAACGGTCCACCCTTTAACAGTGACAACTTTGCTAAATTTGCAAAACATCTCGGTTTTAAACACAGAAAGGTTACCCCACTCTGGCCCGAGGCTAACGGGGGGGTAGAGAGGTTCATGCGTACTTTCCGGAAAGTCCTGCTCACCTCCAATCATTGGAAACAGGACATGGTTGCATTTCTCCGCAATTACAGGGCAACCCCTCATTCCACAACTGGCTATGCTCCTGCAACTATACTGCTGGGCAGGGACATTAATGTTAAAATCCCTTCTTTTTCCAAGGGGTGGGGAAATGATGACCTGTTAAGGAAGAATGACCAAAAGAACAAAATTAACATTAAGTTAAATGCAGAGAAAAATTAAGGAGAATAAAATCAAAGCAGGGGACATAGTTTTAGTTAAGCAGATTAGAGCTAGCAAGTTTACTTCACCCTTTAATAAAACGCCATTGGTGATAATTGGGAAGAATCATGACATGTTAACTGCTAAGTTTCCCAATGGAAAAACAATTACCCGGAACTACTCCCATTTCAAAAAAATTGACCTGCCCGCCAGAACTAAAATCACCAGCCCTAATGGTATTGATGATGATGGCATTATAGATCAGGACTATGAAGTACCTGGTGTGGTTCCCCCACAACCCCGTAGATCGGGAAGGGTAAGATTCCGACCACAGCGTCTAATAGAGCAAATATAAGCTTGTATGGCGAGGTTCATAGTGTAGTGAGTTGGTCACTCACAGGTTGTTGAAATATGTTATTGTTTATGTAGTTTATAGTTGTTTGGGTAAGGTATACATGAGTTTTAAATCCGGAAAGGGGGAGATGTAGTACTGTGTAATTTGCTAATTGGGACAGAAAGTTCCTGGAAACGGTTTTATCATTATGGGATGTAGAGAGGGCACATGTGAGGGAGTACAATAAATGGACAGAGAGATATTAACAGTACTGGTGTATACGAGTCTCATTTATTTGCCATTATATTACATTTACAATTCAACCTCAAGCATCACAGATACCTCAATCTTCTCCTGAACATTCAAAGGATTGCGATTCTGTTACCCAAGGAAAAGAAGCAAAACTGTCAATTGTTCTATAGTGGGCATTCGGTCTGATGGGCGTGTAAAAAAATGTCTATAGGCTAAAAATTATTTTCATTATTAAAAAAAAAAAATTCATTCTATGCTAATGCTGCATCTGATTTTTTTGAAGCAGTATGCTTGTATAACCTTAAAAAAGTACTGTATGTTTAACACTGTACCCAAACAATTCACGTTTTGGGCCACCGAAATCGACACCTTCCTCTCCCGACAAATGGATGTGTGGTGATTTCAGAAAGTCAAAATCCTTCTGCTTTCCAATTGTGTCGATGGTGCTCTTCCATATCCTCTTTCTTCTAATGATAATCTCTACTACCTCATCATGCAGCTTGTTCTGGAACTGTCTATCCCCATCTTGCATTGCTGCAACATCAGCATTCTCGTCACTATTTTTATATGCAGAAATTATATTTGTTAGTATGTCACATAAGAATTTATACTTCATTTTAATTGACCTGTATTGCCTTAACATTCATAAGGTAAGCCACGCCAACTAAAAGAGTAACAAGTTCCAGTCAATAACAAAATGGTTTTACATTGTTACAAAATTTACATACCTGTTAATCAGTGGCCAGCTGGTTCTATAAAATGACTAGTGTGAGTGTTCAATACACTCGCAAATTTACCAACATTTATGTAATTGAGTCAATCCACAGCCAAGTGTGTGAGGTTCATTAGACAAGAATTATTGTATTTTAAGCTTATCATGGGGAATTGATAGTCGCACAATACTACAGTTTTATTTATTTCAGTTATATATTCTGGTCTTTTATTCTCATATCAAAACATCAAATCATTAAAAACATTATAAAATAAGTGTAATTTAAGATTGCTCATAGCAGCAGTAACTGAATTGTGACACAAAATTTTTAAAGCCTATACATTAAAAAAAAAAAAAAACTAACAGAAGGAAAAGACATCAAATAAACATTAAAATCCAATAAAAAAAATTGAACATTGGACGAGCCCAGACCGAGAGGTAAAAAGGGGTACCCACAGAGTTAAGAATTCTAGTCATATATGGGATTGGGCTATCAGGAAACGCTTGGTTGCAGTTTATTAATTTATATTTATCTGAACTTCGAAGAGCCATGTTGTGATATTTGTCATTTAGAGTAAACCATTGTGAGTGGCGTAGAGACCTAGAGGCAGCTAGGGCAAACATCCTACAGAGTTTGTCCCTACGGTCAGACAGCCTCTCAAGTTTGAGCTCGTCCGAGGCATTATCGTATGAAATGTATTGGTTTTCAAGGATGCACCTACAGATCCGCCTCGGAACTTGTTCAATCTGTTCGCCCTGCTGTTGAGTAAGACCAGGGTGCCACAGTGGAGCACAACACTCAACAGAAGGACATACATAACACGTATATACAATAACAAGTTCAGAGGCGTTGAGACCAGCTCTCTTAAGAGACCATATCAAAACAATTTTACGATTAGCTTTAGAACAAAGCGCATCGGTCTTTTCCATTTTAGATTATCACCAAACATTATAATAAGAAGTTTGACAGTGTGAACAATAGGCAACGTTTGGTTAGAAATTCGTAGGAAATTTGTTATTATAAACCATATACATTTAATCAGACCCAACTAACCTTGGTCGGTTCAAGTCTACCAAACTCTGCTGCAACGCAACTTGTATTTCATCATCTTCATCCGAAGAAAGTGGGTCTTCATCCACAATATTAACGTAATCGCTAATGTGTCTGTAAATAATTGGGATCCATTTGTTACAGTTGATATGTACTTGAAAAATTATCTGTATGACATTTTTGAATGGGATATTTCTTACCGACTCCAAGCAGATGTTAAAGGTGTATTTGTGAATGTCGAACTAATCGAACTAGTGGGATCCGGTGGCTCTAAGATCTAGATAAATAAAAATTATATTATTGAAATATAAGAAAACATGGCTAACAATTAATGGTTTGTACTGGATATTTTTAAATACCAACTGGATCATATGATGCATTAATATGGCTGATACTGAGATCATACAACAAATCATCATCCTCATCCTGTAAAAGTAAATCAACCAGTGAAATAAAATATATAATGATCAAAGAGAGTGATGGTACAGAATTCTGTATTGTTTTTGTATCAATTAAAATATTTAGACAATCAATCAATCATCAAAACTTTTATTTCATCATCGCCAAATATACATATAAAACAAGGCATTGATGAGGACCAACCTAGAACTCGAGAATTGGGAAGTTTATTCCAATAGAAACGACCTTGGCAGTTAAAAAAGAATCCAGATTTTAATAAGTGTGGAATATGGAATAATATTTTTGAGTGAGGTTACATGAAGAGAAAATATTGCTAATTATGAGTGAGGTAGTGAGTCGATAAATATTTACAATAATTTAAACATATCCTAACAATTATTTAAATAGAATACCCACCTCTATACATATTTCAACTTCATCTTTGGCTCTGTAAACAGAAGATATATTAATACACAATTATGTGCATCAGCATTTGAATGTTTTCTGTGTTCTTAAAGTGTGCTCTATTTTTCATATAAATTGTTCATTCCACTTCCGCCCGTCTTCTAATGAGCCGATATTCGCCAATGATGATCGATAATAAACAATTGTTTAAAGTGATGGGTAATCACATGGTACATTTGCATGATAGTATTTAAGTTATAGTGGACCTAATATAAACATATTAAGGAACAAAATCATACATAGGATAAGCCTCGGTACAAGCTGCAATATGATCCCGTAAGCCACTGAGCGATACAAGTTCGTTACATATTCGGCATTCTTGTTTTATGCCACTTTCTTCAGAATCTGTATCCTGCTGCAATGATAGTTACAAAATGCATGATAAGGACTAGGACCTTATCATTCATTGGAACAGTTT